GTTTATTGGGTTTCCATACACGGATCTATGCATTATCCCCAGTTTAGCAAACTTACAGGGTTTCTTTTACAACAAGGAAAAGGGGATGGTGCGGGAAATATGATCATTATATTTCAGCTAAATCAAAATAACAAAATTGGAAGAAAATCGGCTTTTTATCCTCCCCCCTTCCATTTCTTTTTTCCTCCACCCCTTCCTTCCCCCTCCCCACCCACTAGAATGGGAACACTGTACGGAGTCAAGGTTCCCCCAGGATGCTTGTTGATTTCACCTTATCAGCTGTTCCTTACTCTTATACCTACCCAGGGTCATCTCCAACCCCCATCCTTTTCATCCTACCTCCTTTCCATTCTACCCTTAGCCTATTCATCCTACTCTCATCCATTCTATCCTACCTTCATACTTGCCTTTCTACACCCCATACTTTCCTTCCTTTCCCGATCCTTCTATCCTACCCTTATCCTTTCCATCCTACCCTCATCCTTTCCATCCTACCTTTATCATTTCCATCCTACCCCCTACTTTCCATCCTAACCCGATCCTTCCATCCTAGTCCTACCCTTATCCTTTCCATCCTACCCTCATCCTTCCATCTTACCCTTATCCTTTCTTTTTTTTTAAACATATTTATGAGTGTTTTTTATCTCTTACTTCTCTTAATCTCCTCCCCTTAGCAGACCTCTCTTAAACTTTTGAATAAATCTTTTAATCTTTCACTTTCAGCCTTTTCTCTCTCCCCAATATACATATTTATGATCAGTTTTTTCACAGAGAATTCTCCCTCCACCTTTTTCTTTTTCCCATACACACACATATTCTCACGACTTTAACATTAACAAATTTGTGGTTACACCTGTCCTTCCTCCCTTTATCTTTTCCTCCTCCCTTTCCCCCCCTTTCTCTGTTCCTCCTACTCCTGGTATATTTATAATTTCATCCTTCTAACATTCCTTCTCCTCATTCTCATCTTGCTTCTTCTTCTAATTTTATTATCCGTCAAATTATAATTTTCCAGTCTTTCTCTCCATATTCATTTCGTTAACTAACTTATACCAACCCCCCAGAGCAACCTAACCGGGTTAGGCGGGTCTAACTCTCATTTCTTAACTGTAATAACTCATGCTTTGCAGTTGAATAAAAATATGAAATATATTCATTTTCGAAATCTATTAAACTCTGATATTCTAATTCTGTCTTTGTATAATTTAAAAAAATCCTTTTTATAAAAACAGAATTCGTGATCTCAATTTTATTTAAAAATTAATAAATTAATTCTTGATTCTGAAATATATTGTCGGACGACATGCTCATGGGTAGGAAATGTCGTCTTTTTAGTATTTATTGAATCATCCTGTATATAAGAGGAAGAGGGGTGAAAAAAAACCAGAATTTTGCAGAAAATATGACATTTTAATGAAAACTCTTCAAATTATTTTTTTAAAGCGTTGAAACTCATTATTCTATTTTCTTCAGATTAATTATCAAATTCGCAATTTTCTCTTGCTTAAACAATAAGATAAAGAACAAAAGGAAGGTTAGATGAAAGATAAGATAGATTACAAAAGAAGTTCTTAAATATTAAATTTGGGTAAAATCACAATTTAATATGAGATTTTGAAAAGATTATGTCATTTCAAAAAATATGAAATCCAAACTTTTTCTTCTCTTAAACTTAAAGGGACTGCAAAGCGTAATGTTAAGGGATCCTTCATCCAAAGATAGCAATGCCCGATTTACAACAATACCCTTGAAACCTTAATTTGATTTAAAAAGTGGAAGATAACGTCGTTTTTCTCACTCAAGAGCGTTTAATTCTGATTTTCTTTTAAGCAAGAAATGCGCAAGTTTATTTTGCAGAGAAACCACATATACGAAAAAACAACAGTTTAAATAAACACAACCATGGATATCTAATTCATACTATTTAGATTAGACAAAGCAGTAAAAGCAGTAAATCAGGAATTGACATCTTTGCTTGGAGGGTCATACAAAATTACGCTTACAGCCCCTTTAGAATGTAACATAATGCAATAATTTTTAAATATACACGATTTAAACTATATTTCAATTAATTTCAGATTATTTTCCACTTTAAATTGGAGACCACTGTACGTTAAATTTTAGCCTTGGAAGTATCCTACAAACGGACACACACACAGTTCAACACTCACACAAGGACCTGGACATTATTTACTGGGGATTTTGATGCCCATCTTTCCCCCATATGTTGAAGGTTCATGAACTCTCAACTAATTACAAGATGTTCTCTAGTTTAATCTCTATAGGCCAGGTTCAGAGACACTGACCTTCAAATCCATCAAAAAATGACCTTTTTGGGTATTTTTGTTAAGTACGTTTTAAAGTACACAACGTTTAGGGAATTGGGTTAAATTGATTGATTTTATTATTTTTTAAATGTAAAACAAAGGAATTGAGTTTTTGCCACAAGCTCAAATTTTCTAATCCCTATCTTTGCGACTTGACGGTGTAAACCTTTCATATTTTAAACTCAATCTATTTAATCTAACAGAATTTATAGTTTGAAATATCTGAGGTCTACAACATCAAATTTCAAAGTTTTAAGGATCAGAAAATCAAAGTTTGTAGCAGAAACTCAATTCCTTTGATCTTTTATGAATATATATGATTGAGCTTTTTTACTTACATTACAAAACATAACTTTGTACTTTACAAATTCAATTTATTTAAAAGTGATAAAACAAACTTTTTTCTTAAATATGAACGAAAAATATGAATGTAAAAGAACTGTGTATGCACTTTTGTACACACAAAAATAAGTCTTTTTTACATACATTTTTTCAGACGTTTAGAACATAAATTATAAAAAAAAATTTCATTAAAAATGTTATTTGTACAATGCACAAATTGTAAAAATTGTACATAGTTTAATTACAATATAACAACATTTCTAAAAATAAGTAAAGATATATTGATGATCTTACTTTCTTCTTATTGTCTAAATCAAGGTTATCGAATACATTGTTCATGTAACCTTGGATCGGTGTGCGCTCAATTACTTTTCAACAATTGTAAGCGCTCAAAAATAGACTGAAATTTTACTTGTGCGCGCCAGCATCAATCTGCGCGCTTATTAAATAACAGAACGAGGAACTTTTTGTCCCCCGTAGGAGCACGAGCTTGTAAATCAAATGCATGCCTCTGATTGGTTGGTTTCAGGAAAAATATTGAACAAGTATACGGCAAAAAAACATGAAATGTGCCAAACTAAGGAATTAAGTTTTGCCCCATTCTCAAATTTTCTAATCTCTGTATCTTTGCAACCTGATGCTGTAAACCTTTGATATTTCAAACTCTCATTTTTTGATCTAACAGAGTTAATAGATAAAGGAATTAGAAAATCAGAGTTTGTGGCAAAGGCTCAATTCGTTTGATAATCCACGAAAAAAAGGAAATAAAAAGATGGAGGTTGGATAAAACTGTTTTTAAGACTGACCAAGGCCTCTGTAAACAAACCGTTTATTGAATAATGAACTGAGAAAGCTAATCCCAGATCCAAGATTAAAACGTCGGACAAATCCCGGCTTATCTCACACCGGTATCTCAATCTGACTCGAAGGTCGTAAATTCAAGTTTTGGCCTTTATACTTTTATTGAAAGCCTAGTCCTGGCCTGAAACTAGGTGAACAATGCTTGGCTTGAAGAGACGCTTTAAATTCAGGCAGTTAAGGCAGAGAGGACATAAAGATTTATTATCAGGACAACGGCAAATAATTTGGAAAATATTTTTAATAAAGAAAATCCGCAAAAGTGCCCCGGGAAAATATCAATGTTCTATGGACGGGAGCAGGTCATTTTTGATTTATTTGATAATTTTCTAAAAGGTTAACAAACACATCTAGTTTAGGTAATCTACAATTTCTAGTTTTTATCGTAATAGCTATCAATTTTGTCTACATATAAAATGAATAACACTTTTTTACGAACCAGGTAGGCCATGCAAATAATTTAAAAAATGGCTTTTATACCATGCATTAAGATACGCTAGGTTTACACCCAAACATATTCGTCGTGTGAGGTCTTTAGCCCTCATCACCGGTTTTAGAGGAAACATGAATTTACATATTAATTATTCAGTTTCCAGGAATGCGTTTATTTAGAAATCAGAAATATCTAAATATCTAATAAAATATCTAAAAAATATCTAAATATCTAAATATTTAAAAAATCTTTTTTTTTGGTTTTTGAATCTATCCTCCCTTCTACCACCTTGAAGTGCACTACGAAGTGAACATGTAGGAAGAGATTATTCGATACCCATGAAATTGAGTTAAAGCGCAAACCATAATGGACACAACTCTGCCAAAACAGGCAGTGTGGGTAGGCAGACAGGCAGACAGTTTTGTTTGGGCATACACAGTCATGCCTGGTCAAGATACTTTAATGCGCAAATATCATAACAAAACAAAAACATTTTTAAAACGTGCAAAGTTCAGAAAAAAATGTTAAAATCAAGGTTGGTTGAAATAGAAGATTGATTAAAGCAGAACCTCATCAAATAATTGCCAGGGTTTCATTAGCGAATGAACAAGCGATGCATCTGCAATATGTTTTCCAAATAAAAACAATAATAGAACCTTCGTGGTTTAAATATATGTCTATCTCAAACTGATTCAAATTTTCTAAGAGTTGTCATCTAAATAGTTTCCTTGAAAAACTCGGATTAATTATCAAAATCTTAATTCTTTTAAAATACCGCCAGGAAGAGTAAATCAAGGATTAAAGGTCTTGGGATACCAATTAAATTCCTTCTATCTCCATAGCAAGATAATTCAGGGACGGATTAATAATCTATTAATTCAACTTCAATACCTCATAACGTATGCAATAGTGCATGGATTTGCAATCAGTATTGTACAGAATTATGCACGCCAATTTAAGCATTTCGTAACCTTTACTTAATGTACAATGTACATATTTATATTATTGTATATCATATATATGTATATATAAACATTTACCAAAGAATGTTCCACCGTAATGGCTCTGGGTGGTCCCTATAGTTACACATTTTACAGGTCTGTGCTCTTGTAATTTGCAAGAACAATGTTCTATCTCAATATGCCCTAGTAAATAAGAAACAGGACTTACTTGTTCAGGTTCAAATCTCGGAGCCTGGCAGGGAATCGAAGTCGGAGTGTGCCGAATATTGCAAAAAGAGCAGAATCCGTCCTGGAGCAGGGTTTCCGTTCTCATCTCCCCTCTCAGCAGGGTTTCATTCCTCTCCTTCTCCCTCTGCAGGTTCATATTTCTTATCACAGAGTCCCTGTGCAGGGGTTCGTTTTTTATTGGAAATTTTTGTCCCTGTCGGGTCAAGGGTTGGTTCTCTCCTAGATTTCTTTCATTCATGACTGACCCTAGGATTTCTCCCTGCATGCCAGGATTATTAAATCCAGATCTTACAGTCTCCTCCTTCTCCTTTATAACCTGGCTCAACCCGTCCTCAATTCTCAACCCAGCCTTTGACATAGGTAAACCATAAGGTTCGAGGTTCTCAGGGTGCTCAACAAGCTTTGAAGACTCGCTCATGCTCCGAGAAAGGATCTTTCGATTTGTTCCATGAGTTCCGATCCACTGTTTGGGTTTGAGAGGATAGTTTGAAATATTCTCCGACATGTTCATATAGTTTCCATACGGGTTTTCAAACTGGTGTTGATCCTCCCTGGATAAATGGTCCTGGGTCCAGTCCCCCTCCAGCTCCGTCCCAGCATCTCCGGGTTCAGAATATCTCAGGGTCTCACTGGATGAATGTCTATCCGTATATTTAAGAGTTTCACTAGAACAGTTTGATATCACGGTGGTTACAGATTCACGGCCGCTTGAACTATCATCACTGATGGTTCGACGGTTGATAGAATCTGTTCTCTGGACTAGTTTTAACAGGTTGGACTCCAGGGGGGAGAGATGATCTGGGTTGTTTAACCAGAACTGAGCCTGGTTCTCTCTAGCTAGCTGATCTAGCATAGGAGTAGGTTGCAGGTTTCTACGACTTCGTTGCTTCTGATAACCTTCAAATTTAGCAGCAAACTCCTCCAGTTCCTGGGTCTTAGGACTCTTGTGCATCTCCGCCTGCCTGGAGAAGGACGCCCTTTGTTCTTCTCTCGTCCTGTACGCAGACTGACGAAACCTTCCGCTCAGGTTCTGATAAAACCCCAGATCCTCCTTCGCGGGTAAAGTGACAGAGGAGGAGATATACGGAGCCTCTGCACCCGGGAAGGAACTGTTGAGCTGAGGAGAAACAGTCTCATTACCAACCGGAGGAAGGTTGGATTGAGAGGAGGAACGGATGTGGGAGTAGGGTTCATCAAAATGAGTTTCAAGCAACCTCCCGGAACTATTTTGCCGCGACAACATACTCGGGTTCACCGCTAAAATCTCTTCATGGTCGGGGAAATGGTTCTGTCGTCCTGGTTTGGTTAACACTGGATCAGGTTGTGTTGTGTTGTGTGTGCTCAATGTTGTTAGGTTCGCTGTGGTTGGAGCAGCTGAGCAGGGTTGTGTTGGGTGAGATCTTGGAACTCTCTCGGAGCTTACTCTGAAAAATAAATAAATTTGAGTCTTATTATGATGCATGGAGCGCTTTCCATGTAAACTATACTGCACGCCTTGGGCCAGGCTGGGGGACTGGTCTTTTTTCATCCTCAATTTCTAAGATTTTGTTTTCACAAGCTAGGTTATAAGTACACTGTATCTAAAGGGACTTTATGCGTAATTTTAAGTGACCTTCCATACAAAGATGGCAATGCCCGATTCACAACGATACCATTAAATGCTTTATCTAATCAAGTATGAATTAGATATCAATGTTTTTAATTTAAAAAACTGATTATTTTCCATTGATATTTCTCTACAAAATTAATTTGCACATCTCTAGAAAAACAACATTATCTTCCACATTATTGATCAGATAAAAGTTTTAAGGATACCTTTGTAATAAAATAAAATAAATAAAATAAAATAAAATAAAATGATTCATATAATATTTATGATCTAAGTAAAACACTAAGTTAAAAACTATCATTCACAACATGAATGAAAACAATAAAAAATAAAAATAAACACTTTAAACGGACAAAACGTTAAAAAATGTCAAAAGAGATTTAATAATGTTGGCGGTCGTGTCATACTTGAAAATAACGTTTTTAATTATGAAGACAGTTCCATAAAAGTCACCGAGTTGAAACTGCACAATTGTCCAGGCTTTAATATAAACCTTTGGTATTATTAAAACTAAAGGTTTATTATAAAATGTTTAAGTTTAAAGGTCTAAGGCTCAAATTTTAAGATAAACCTTTGTTATATAGTTGTTATATACAGTGAAACCCTTAATAAGGAATACATCGGAAGAATTTATCAAATGTCGTCTTGACAATTTTTCAATGAGTTTTATACTATATTACTTAAATTATAGTATTTGTGAAAATAAATAAATAGACATGAATACGCGGGAACAGTTTTAAAGAGTTCCATATAATCATTTAATTAAAAAACTAAATATCTGCAACATTCCATTATCAGAAAGTGAAGAATACGACATTTGATGAATTCTTTCGATGTATTCGTTATTAAGGGTTTCACTGTACTAACTAAATGTTGAGAACAGAATAAGATTAATCCTTTAAAATAAAAGTCGAGCATAAAATGTTAAAGTTTAAAATGGAAGGTTTAAGGCTTAAAAGGACCAGAACATAATTATAGGTTTGGAAGAAAGAACAACGCTGATTTTATGTTCAAAAAGGATCTAGAAAAAGTTCTCATGAATTTAAATTGTGAGAAATAAAAATCCGACTGAATCTGTCAAGAAAAGAAATGATTTCTTGCCTCTTCAGGTTGCAAAGATATAGGTATGATAACATTAGAGTTTGTGGCGAGTAATCAGTTACTTCAGAAACGATCCCCCCTTGGAAGATTTCGAATGCAGGAAAAGTTTTCCATGTCATATAAACGTCTCCAGCTAATCTAGTTCTGACTGATCTACTAATCTAACTCCAGCTGTGAGAACTACATGAACCTGCAGCATGAGGATGAGGATGAGATAGAAGGATGAAAGTAAACCTGTAATTAAACAACAAGACTTGCAAACTAATCTAGCCTAGGTTGAGATCTGCTAGCATAGATCCAGAATATAATGAATTAATAATAGAGGTCAGGAAGATCATGGGTTTCTCTTCAATTCATCCTTACTGCAGACAGAATTCAATATACATAACTCTTCAGCATAGGTCGGAGAAACGTTCTAGGATGTCTATACTACAGAGGGTGTCTATACTACAGGGTGTTCTCTTAATATAGGTCGGATAAACGTTCTAGGGTGTCTATACTACAGGGTGTTCTCTTAATATAGGTCGGTAAAACGTTCTAGGGTGTCTATATTACAGGGTGTTCTCTCAATATAGGTCGGATAAACGTTCTAGGGTGTCTATACTACAGGGTGTCCTCTTATTATAGGTTGGATAAACGTTCTAGGATGTCTATATTACAGGGTGTTCTCTCAATATAGGTCGGATAAACGTTCTACAGTGTCTTTACTAGAGAGCCTTTCCTCTCAATACAGGTCGGACTCCGATAAACTTTCTAGGGTGTCTTTACTACAGGGGTTTCCTTGATACATGTTGGATAAACGTTCTAGGGTGTCTTTACTACATTGTACGAAGTGGTGCAACGTTTTTCAACACTTATGTAGTGAGTATCTGATTTTAGTAATACTTTAACTTGAGATTAGTCGATTTTGTTTTTATCTTTCCAATCCATGCTTTTATTCTTATATCTATCTATCTATATCCTTAACTGTTCTCTTAACAGGAACTATCATTTCAATCTTTAACTGTCTTTCATCATAGTTCCGCCTTTGTATATTATATTATATATATATATTAATTGTTTTCAAGTAGTTTTGATTATACTAAAACTGAATATATTTAGATTTCAAGTAGTTTTGATTATAATAAAACTGAATATATTTAGATTTCAAGTAGTTTTGATTATAATAAAACTGAATATATTTAGATTTCAAGTAGTTTTGATTATAATAAAACTGAATATATTCAGATTTCAAGTAATTTGATTATAATAAAACTGAATCTATTTAGTTGTCAAAAATTGTCCACTAGGTCTTTCTTTTTATCATTTCCATATCTTTCTATTTTCATGCTTGTCAACTTAAATTGACATATTTATAACCTGTCTTTCTATGTACATAGATATGTATCTACCCATTTACCTATCTACCTATCTACCTATCTACCTATCTACCTATCTACCTATCTACCTATCTACCTATCTACCTATCTACCTATCTAAATCTAGGACTAAAGTTGGGAAGAGGTTCTCCAGGTATGCCTGTATACTGAGTATCCCTGACCCAGGAGTTGAACTATGGGAACAGATTAGAGTCTGGATAAAATCTGATGATAAAACTCTGACTTATTTGTGTCCCTAGTCTAGGTTCTATATATTATATAATCCTGTTTCATTATCTCTTCTTCTATCTTCTTCAACCCTAGTTTTATACTTAGTTCTCAGCCACACAGACAGAGGAACAGAATGATAAACATATAAGATAGATAGACATGAAACTGAACAGAAAGATGAACATATAAGATAGATAGACATGAAACTGAACAGAAAGATGAACATATAAGATAGATAGACATGAGACTGAACAGAAAGATGAACATATAAGATATATAGACATGAAACTGAACAGAAAGCTCAATATATAAGATAGATAGACATGAAACTGAACAGAAAGAGAAACATATAAGAAAGATAGACATGAAACTGAACAGAAAGATGAACATATAAGATAGATAGACATAAAACTGAACAGAATAATGAACATATAAGATAGATAGACATGAAACTGAACAGAATGAGGAACATATAAGATAGATAGACATGGAACTGAACAGAATGATGAACATATAAGATAGATAGACATGAAACTGAACAGAATGATAAACATATAAGATAGATGGATAAATAAGTGAACATAACTATGGACACCTAGATAAACAGGTAGCGAGATAATTCGATGGACATAAAGATATACATACAGATATAAGAACAGATATTTATATGAACACTTAGTTAAACCAGTAAATGGACATTGGACGGTTAGTCCCAATAGATAATCAAAAAGAAACGACCAGACACAAAATCCGACCGAATTCAATCATTGTTTTCAAATCAATGCAAATCTTTGTAGAAAATTCATAAATCGTCTATTCTTTGACCTCCTCTGACCCGTATCGTCCAACCCCCCGCTCATCTTTTTCCCATCAATCCAAATATTTGCAAGAATCGCAAACAAGAATTACAAGGCCTAAAATATTGGGAACATTGTTATTTCTTGTTGTTGTTGGAACATTTACAGATCTAGACTCATGAAATAAATAAAATATTATGCTAAGAAAATGTGAATTAAGTTAAGTTAGGAGTGTGTAAAGTAAACAGGTGCGAGATAGCAGTTAGAAAGTGAGACATTGAAGTAAAAAGAGTTATGTTGATATATCTATCTGTCAATGATATCTACCTCCCTCATATATTATTTTCTTTTAAGTCTTGTATATCTATCTACTAATCTATCTGTCTATCTCTCTATCTATCTACTAATCTATCTAACTATCTCTCTATCTGTTGGTGTTGAATTGTCTCTTATTTGGTTCCATTATCCAACTTCTTCTTTCATTGTGAACATTAGTGAGTTTTTGTCTTAATACAACTCTACTCTGATAAAGACCCACAATAGTAGCTAGATAGTGAAATAGATAGGTAGATAAACAATATGGCGGAGTAGAAGATAGGTAGATTAACAATAAGGTGGAGAAGACAACGGATAGATAAACAATATGGCGGAGTAGAAGATAGGTATATAAACAATATGGCGGAGTAGAAGATAGGTAGATTAACAATAAGGCGGAGAAGACAACGGATAGATAAACAATTATGGCGGAGTAGAACATAGGTAGATAAACAATATGGCGAAGTAGAAGATAGGTAAATAAACAATATGGTGGAGTAGAAGACGGATAGATAAACAATATGGCGGAGTAGAAGAAGGATAGATAAACAATATGGCGGAGTAGAGGACGGATAGATAAACAATATGGCGGAGTAGAAGACGAATAGATAAACAATATGGCGGAGTAGAGGGCGGACAGATAAACAATATGGCGGAGTAGAAGACGGATAGATAAACAATATGGCGGAGTAGAAGAAGGATAGATAAACAATATGGCGGAGTAGAAGAGGGATAGATAAATAATATGGCGGAGTAGAAGACGGATAGATAAACAATATGGCGGAGTAGAAGACGAATAGATAAACAATATGGCGGAGTAGAGGACGGATAGATAAACAATATGGCGGAGAAGAAGACGGATAGATAAACAATATGGCGGAGTAGAAGTCGGATAAACAATATGGGGGAGTAGAAGACGGATAGATAGACAATATGGCGGATTAGAAGACGGGTAGATAAAAAATATGGCGGAACAAAGACGGATATATGTATTTGAAAAAGTTGACTAAACA